CAGTTTTGCCTCCGAGACCCTTCACTTGGTGGCAAAAATGGGTCCCAAGAAGCCCAAAGGTGAGCGGACGCACCTTGATGGAAAGCAAAGCTGTCCGAGATCCTGGTGGAGACGGCAAAGCTGCTGAGACCCCATCTGGGATCCCAGTGGGGATGAGGTCTGGAGAAGACCCCGTGTCCCACCGGCTCACAGCTCTACCGCGAGCGGGTGCCGCCTGCTCCAAATTCAGCCGATTTCAGAAGGTTTCGGGTCTGCTCAGCTCTGTCGTCGGGTGCCCAAGGCTGCTCTTGAGGCGACCTGTAGCCCCTCCACCGCCTGAAGAACCACCCTGAGGTGACGCCCGCTCTTCTCCCTCCAACCTCTAGACCTCAGCGGTGGTGATTTATTTTTTTTTTCAAAGAGGAAGCGAAGCAGCCGTGAGCTTCTGCTCAGCCTCGCTGGCTTGACCGCGTGGCTTCCCCCCTCACCCCCTAAGATTTTCCGTGTTAAAATGTGCTTTTTTTTTTTTTTTTCCAGTTAGGTTGCGAATGTGGCTTCTTTCAGCTCCCGCCTCGTGCCCACGGTGGCATGGGGTCTTCCTGAAAGTCAGCGGGCTGGGTCACCTCGTCCTGCTGGTGCTGGTGGTGGTGCTGAGTGTGCAAGGTGAGCGACCAGCTCTTATCTATGGCCCAAAATCCAGCTTCGAGGGGAAAAAAATCAGGGTTTAATGCAGCGTTTCAGCCTTTGGAAGGGATGAGGTTGCTCCATGGAGATGCAACGAGACCCATCACCCACCACGAGTGGGTAGAAGACGCAAGCCGTGCTTCGCAGGCTGGCTTAGCACAGCGGGTGCGGCCGCGGTGGGGAAAAAGGAGGGTGGCACCAGATCAAACCCAGCCCAACCTGGGTTTTGTGGTTTTTTACCCCCAAATGGCCACAGCCTCTCACCCCAAGGTCGTTCCTCCAAGTTTTTCAGGGCTTCCCGCAGCCAGCGGCGACGGGCGGTCCCCAGCAAGGCGGCGAGACCCAGGGAAGGAACGGGACCGAGGAAGGCGTGATGGCATCCCTGCTGCGGTATTTCTGCGAGCCCCGGGGGGAGAGTCCCGCAGGTAACCCCCTTCCCACCTGGCTCTGCTGGGAGATCATCGAGTCATTAAGGTTGGAAAAGACCTCCAAGAACAAGTCACCCCAACACCACCATGTCCCCAAGTACCACATCTACAGGGGTTTTGAACCCCTCCAGGGATGGGGATTCCACCACATCCCTGGGCAGCCTGGTCCAACACCTGACCACTCTTTCAGTCAAGAAATTTTTCCTAATATCCAATCTGAACCTCCCCTGACGCAACTTGAGGTCATTTCCTCTAGTTATTCGGGAGAAGGGACCAACACCCAGCTAAGACGCTCAGGTGGGACCTTTGATGGGGCTTCCACCCAACTGCAAGGACGCCCTTGGGGACGTGAAGCCACCAAGGGGTTGTTTGGCAAAGAGAAGCATTGTGAGGGAAAATTACACAATTTTTGGCGACCTCTCTTCCACAGAGAAGCAGGGTCAACCCTAGGGAAGGAGGTTCCTCATCACCCTTCAGGGCTGATGTTCCCCAGGGGTGGGTTCCTTCCACTAGCGTCCTTGCGGTCACCCCACCACAGTCCTCCTCCTCCTCCTCTCCGGTGGCCGAGCAGGAAAAAAACCCACAACGATGTGAAAAAAAAAATCTCAAGGATGGGGAAGCCCCTTGGTACCTTTCAGCTGGTGGTTGGGGAAGACCTCGACTACCCTTTGGAGCATCTCACGGCTCTTTCTCCTCTTCAGCCTGTGCTGGCTGCAAGCTGTGTCCCCAGGAGTGGCAGCTCCACGGGAACCGGTGCTACTGGCTTTCCAAGAGCAGCGGGAATTGGGCTCAAGGCAAGAAAAGCTGTGAAAATCGGGAGTCGCAGCTGGTCGTGCTTCAGGACACGAAAGAAAAGGTAAACTCGGAGGAGAAGGCTTGGAAAAGACCTGAAATTCCCTTTTTTTTTAAGGTGGGCAGGGGGCAAGAAGTACCTGGCAGCTGGAGGGTTTGGGGCTGCAATGGTGGCTCTCAACCACCTCCTCCTCTGACGTCTCCTAAGAGGTGACCGGCAAGAAAATGGGGCTGAACCATCACCTCCATGGCTCCCACCCACCCGTGCCCGGGAGGAAGAGGAGGGATGCAGAGCTCCGATGGAGACGTCCATGTCTCAGGCTCTGAATTTGAGATGTTTTCACCCCAGTGGTGCCTTTAGAGACGGCGCACGGTGGTGTTCGCAGCATGGGGGACCTTCACATCCCACCCATTCGGGGATGAAACAAGTCAGGTTTACTCCATGGCTTTGCATCCCACGATGCTCCCGTCGTCTCCGTTCCCCAGGAGTACATCAAGAAGATGACACAGGGGAGCATGCAGCCGGTGTGGATCGGACTATCGTCCCACAAGAAGTGGAGCTGGGTGGACAACACGTCCCTCGACACCAAAACGTGAGCGCGTCGGCAACGCGTCACCGCAAAAAAGCGGCTCCGCTGCGTTTCGGACTCGGCAGGATGGGTTGGGGCGTCCACGCGAGTCTCATATTCCCCTCGCCAAAGCTTTGCAGACCATGAGTTGGGTTCACGGAGCGCGGTCACCCAACACCTCCCACCACACCCACGCAACCACCACGGCTTTTAACGGCCCATCTTACCGCAAGCACAGCCACCCGCGCTCAAACCTGGGCGACCCACCGGCGAGAAACCGTCTGCAGCACGAGGAGACGGCGTGGAAAAAGGGAAGGAGGAACCCCTCGCCTCCCTCCTTCTGCAAGCCTGGAAGAGTTGGCTCCTCCTGAGCAGCAAAACGTTTTGCCCTGCAGGTTTGGCGCGCTGCAGGAGATGGACGGAGGGTGCGGGACGCTGAAAGACGAGGCGCTGGAGGTCGACGGCTGCGACGGCGACCACCAGTGGGTTTGCCAGAAAGACCCCTTCCAGCTCTCCCCATCGACGGCGGGAGGAGGAGAGCGCTGCAACGCCTCCGTCTGACCGCGAGACGCTTTCCACCGACATCGGGGGGCGGA